AGGCCCCTTACTTCCTCCATTTTGTTCTAATGTCAGTCTCCTGCAAGTCATCAAGTTCTGCTTCTTCATCCACCGCCTTAATATCTGCCTACAGTCCGATCCTGTAATCCTCATTAGAATCAAGTACTGACCTGAACCGGCCTGAGAGTTTACCAAATTCTTCTTTTAATTCGGTCTTCAGCATGGTGTCTGCTCCTCTTGAAATGAAGTTGGCTAGTCTGGTGAAGCTGCTTTTAGTACTGGTCCTCTCCTGCTTCAACAGTTTCCCCAAGACCTCATCTGCCATCTCTATTCCCTTATGCGTCCACACCTTTTCTGATTTGAAGCTCTTTATCGTCTTTCTCAGTCAGCGTGGTTATCAACTGTTAAGTTCCAGGTCCTCCAGAAGGAGCAAATAGATGGAGTGGGGGAGGCTGAGCAGGTCAAGGGCGTACGGGGCATGGCGGAGGCCCGGCGGCACCCTGCCGCCTAGGAGCCTCGGGAGGGCGGGTGGTGATAGGTGGAGGGGCGGAGGGCAGCAACGGGTACCAGGTCCTCACTGACGCACGGAGTCGCCTCGGGAGAGGGGGAGAGGAGGCTGTGACACCTCCTCGCCTCTCCTGGATGCGCATCGTCATCGGTGGGGATGGCTCGCCGCTCCGACGCCCTCCACCAGCCCATCCTCCCAGGGCTTGGAGCAGTTGCGGCCACCAGACTGGGATAAACCCAGTAATGACCCTTCCACAGGTTCACCTACGGAAACCTTGTTACGACTTTTACTTCCTCTAGATAGTCAAGTTTGATCGTCTTCTTGGCGCTCCGCCAGGGCCGTGGCCGACCCCGGCAGGGCCAGTTTTTGGTTTGTGAGTTGACTGGATCAGAGAACCTGGCTTTTGCAGAGTAGAACGCCCGGGCACTCCGGGGAGGCTTTGAACCCCTTGCGGGGTACCCGAGCGGCACACGGCGCGCGGCCAGGGCGAGGCCGACGCACGGTGCTGGTCAGTGTGTTCCGAGGGTCGGGCCGCGGTCCGTTTGGTCCATTGACGCAGCAAGCACCCACCCATCGACGCGCCATCCACAGCCTAGTCACCACCCCCCCCCCCCCCCCACACACACACACACACACACACACACACACCCCACACCCCACACCCCCACCACCGTCTAGGGTAGGGGTCGCTATATAGGTGCGGGCAGTTTTGGACCGAAGGGGCACACAGGGTAACGGGGGCCCAGCGAGCTAAGGGTGCACAGAGTTTGGTTGGGTTGGGTTGGGTCGGCATGGCTCTAGTGCTTTCGGAAGGACGGCAAGGGAGTCAGGACGACCACGCTGTTGTGTCCCACATCTCAGCCTCCCCGACCACCCCAATATGGTCACGAGCTTTGGGTAATGACCGAAAGAATGAGTTTGCGGATACAAGTGGCCAAAATGAGTTTTCTCCGCAGGGTGCCTGGACTCTCCTTTAGAGATAGGGTGAGAAGCTCGGTCCTCCGGGAGGGGCTCGTAGTAGACCCGCTGCTCCCCCACATCGAGAGGAGCCAGTTGAGGTGGCTCAGGCATCTGATTAGGATGCCTCCTGGATGCCTCCCTGGTGAGGTTTGTCGGGCATGTCCAACCAGGAGGAGACATGAAGGAAGACCGAGGAGGTCTGGTGGAGGGACTGGTCACTCGGCTGGCCAGGGAATGGTTTGGGATTCCCTGGAGGAGGGAAGTCTGGGCCTTCCTGCTTAGGCTACTGCCCTCGCGACCTGACCCTGGATAAGTGGACAAAAATGGATGGTTCTTTCGCATATGTCTAAAACCTTCCGCCAATAACACAGCTTCCAAAACCAACAATTTGACTATCCAGTTGTTGGTCTCTCCGAACTGCTGCACTTCCCTTGGTCCTCCAATCATTATGCACGCACGTATTTAGCAACAGAACACAGGTGTGAGAGTTTCTTGACTCAAAAATATCAGAGATGGAGAAACAGCCAGCTGCTACAGTTTCTATATTAGGACAAACTACCAGAGTCCCAAAAAGAAAAACACCATTTGAAGTCACGGACAACAAAAGATGAAAATGGCGACTGGCGTTTGGTGCTCATTCGTTCCCGCTGGCAATGTGGGTTCTGATTCCAGTAGACATGGGATAGGGATGATGGCAAACAGGGGGCTGAGTGCTCCATGTCCCTGTTAAGTTTTATTCTTCTGGAAGATAAACGTTAGCCTTTCTACCATTGGCAAGCACAGAAACATTTGCTGTCATAGCTATTTTATGAATGATGTCCGCAAGTCTACTTTGCAGTAAAAAGTCAGTGAGATTTTGTGAAAAGAAAATTAAGTTAAAAATGAAAAACAAGGACAGAAAAGGCCAAATACTCTGCATTGTGCGTTACCATTTTAATGGCACATGTATCTGACACAAGCTAACGAGCTGCACATGGCCCGAAGGCAACAATGTTGACACCCTTCCTTATTATGCCACTTGATATCAACCTGGGAATGGGATCTGGATGCTGAAGCCCAAACAAGTCCCCCAATGGTTTGTTTCAGTTTTTTTTTATAAACATTGTCCCCTCAAGATTGAATGAGAAACTTGTTACAATATAAAAATGGATCATCTTTTTTCCAGGTGTTTACTCTTGGTTCAAATTTAAAGGTGTGATTCACTTGTTTAATCAATACATTTGCAGTGTTCTCTAGTAGGAATGAATGCCTTGAAAGTTAGACTCTGGGGCAAAAAAACACTGGTGAACCATTTCCAAGAACTAGAAGTGAGCCACATCACAGCTAAGCGTCAAACTGCAGTATGTGGAGTCTTATTATCTGGTATTTGAACATCTCAACTTGGATTGGATAACAGCAACACTACCACTGACTTGCAATGTAGATGTTTCATCTTGACAAATAACACAAGCCTGGAGGAGTTTCTGCTGTATGGTGAAGTAGCTAATGCAAATCGTTAGCTTCTACTAGCCGAGACGTTCTCTGCTGTTTCCTGTATGCTAAAACAACAACAGCCTTCCCCATCGCAAGTCAAGATAGGTGAGTCCACAAACGTTAAGGGACAGCGTGACATAGATCTGTCAGGATTTTCAAATTCTAGAGTTTCATTGTCTATTTTCTATCAGAAGCTAATGTGGGTGTAGGAGACTATTTCCATGTTTGGACTGCATGAAAAACTCAGAGTGGCCGATAATTATCAAAATTAAGACTTCTGTCATGAACTGAATTCAGAAGACCCGTGAAGAAGCCATTGCAGTAATGTAAGATTGTTCAAATAGCAGAACAAACAATAAGTTCACATTCAGAAAATTCACACAGAATTTCTGATTCAGCAGAGGCAATAACAGCCTGAACGAGCATAAAGCAAGATCAAAACTTAAGATAACCTTTTCATTTTATTAAAATACTTTCTTTTAAGATTATAGATTGTATTAAATTAATATTGCAATAATTTAAGCTGCGTGTTTATAGTTAGTTTTTGTGCCTTTAAACATGCTTCAGTCCATTAAAATTAAGCTATTTCTTCTTGAATGCATTTCCACTATCATGTTATTAATTTGTCAACATTTATAAACGTTGTAAGCTATTGTATTTAGCAGAAAATCTTTTTAATTAAATTTGTTGATTAAATGTAAACAGAGCAAATAAGATAAACATATTTGCTCTGTTTACATAGTTTAACGACACCTAGTGGTTATTTACTGGTACTACTGCCTTAGCATTGACACTCCCAATGGATAAGATGAGGATAATTTATTACCATTTAATACAGCTGTGTAATGACGTATAAATTATTAATATCAAAAATTAGTCTGGTAGAATGTTTTACATACAAACAACCAATTTGTAACCAAAAGCTAGGCTATGTAAAATGTGAATGAACTTTTATTAGTAACTTTGATAAGTTTCAGATTTCAATTCATTAAATAACATCGAAGGAGGGGGGGGGGCAAAACATGCAGCCTGCCTAGAGTAGTCCATTTATTTAATCCGGCTCTGCTTTTGGCGTCAGGGGTCTGATGTGGAGGGTGGCTGACCAAGCGTTTGTTTCCGACGCTTAGGGTGTGAGAATGTGTTGGATGACAGGAACAGGTGAGAAGAATGGAGTTGATTGTGGCTGCCAGGGAAACAGGGCTTGTCAGGAGCTTGGTGAAGGGACCAGGTGAGCTGAATGAAGGTTGAATGAGGAGGCAGAGGAGGGTGAAGGTTGGGAGTCATGACAACTTCAAAAAATATATTTTTTTCAATTTTTGTTCAATACCTTTAACCATGGTTGCATGTTCAAATTTCCCATTACTTCAACAGTTGTAACTAGTCACTTGATGCCTAAAAGCACCTGTGTACTAGTGAGTTTGACTTTCATCCATTTTTAGAGCTCAGACACTGCTTCTTAAGATCTGCTGTAAAACAGATCTAGTGGCAACATTTTTCAGGAAATTAACAGCAACTAATGAAGTCATTCAGGAATCACATGACTGGAAGAATATGTTACAGGCTTTGCAGAAGGAACCAAGAAAAACATGACTTATCAATAATTTAAACATTTTTAAAGTGACTACACCTTCTTTCTTTTTGTTTTAGAATCAAGGAATCAAACATTGGTTTGTGTTTTTAAATGTTTCATGTTGCACTTTTAGACATGGTAAAAATGCAATATTTCCTGTCTGATTGTTTCACACACAGGACACCCTGGCTGATAAGGCAGTGGCAGATGGTTAATGTCAAGGTGCAAAACTTTATCTCATTGAGTTTTAAACGCTCACATATTTTTAAGAATAAACAAACCTTTGTTTTTGGTCAGTGGAATGGATTCTGTTTTGCTCCCAGTTCCTCGGGTTTATTATCAAGTCTGATTTAGCATTCAACTTAATTTAGAAAACAATATTTAAAACGGTTCACATGAATAAAATCTGGAACAGATACGCAGCAGTTTACAGTAAACACTTTATCCATTTAGCTACAAGTAAACACAACCTTTAGAGTTAAGGGTGTCAGCTCAACAATCAGAAATGTTCAATGAATCTGCACTTACTGGGACTTAAATCTTCATTTTCACATGTTTATCAAACCCGCAAAAGTTTATCCTCCTTCACGGATGCGCAGGGTTTTAAAGGGAAGCATCCAGTAACGCGCCGCAGATGGACGCGCTGTTCCATGCAGACCTGGTGTCGTTGATCAGATTCAGTTATCGGTGTGTGTGCAGGAGGAAACGAGGATTCCGCCTCCTCTGTGTCGAAGAAAAATAACCTCCAGACGGAGGTATTCCGATCCGCTCTGGAGGGCTGTGCTGCTCACACAGAGGGAGATGGAGAGGATCTAATGCGAATTTCACCGACGCGCCTCTTTACGCACAGCGCTCCACACAGCCGAGCGGTGCGTCCGCCCTGGGAATCAGGTTAGAGGTGGAGGGGATACAACCGAAGAACAGGGGAGCGGGCGGGATTGAAATCTGTCAGAAACCAGTAATTTTTTTTCATTTTTCATCAGTGTGTTAAGAAAATAAACATAAAGCGCAAATTATGTTCCAGCGTCTGAATTTTTTTGTTTGTTTGTTTTGTTTATTGTTCTTGACTCGGCTGTGACGTTCTGTCTACCGACAGAGACAGACTGTCCTGTTCCACTTGATGTGGGTTGAGACGGTCCCGGGCACATTTTGGCTTTCAAATTTGTTGGAAAGAAAGAAAAAAGCAAATAGCCTACAAAGACTGGCAAGGCTCACCAGCCAGGAGAGGACGTATTCACTGTGGGGGCCGGAGGTGAAACAGACAGGAGCCTCAATTCCTCTACCTCCCAGCGTGAAACAATATTGGTGGGAGGGAGTGGGGTATGTGCATGGACGTAATTTGGGGGGGGGGGGGGGGGGGGGGGGACAGGGGGGACATGTCTCCCCCCCCCCCCCCCCCCACTTTTTCCAAAGTCAAGTTTTGACCCCTGCACTTTTTACCATCCAAAAACAATATTACGCTATATTAAATTGACACTGGTTGAGCTCTAGGACCAAGCGGAAAGCAACCGTTTGTGTTGAAGCCTGTTTCCCCTTAGAACATATTGTAAAGATACCCCCCGCCCCCCGTGTCCTCCCCACTTCTAAAGTGAAAATTACGTCCTTGGGTATGTGTGAAATATTTCCCTTCTTAGTCCATAATAAGTAATAATTGTTATTAAATTTAAAGATAACTTTTTTCCCCTCTCCAAATAAGCAGCTACAGAAGGTAAAATTTCAAATTTACAGATGAAGTTAACAATAATTGTAATAATACTCAATTTAATACAAGCTGAGCCTTTAAGAGCAATCATTTTCATTTTGGCTTTTCTTTATATGCTATCTTGTTTTTTTCTTTTTTTTTTTCTCCAACAGTCTGTGTGGATCAATAATCATCTGATCAAAGCTGTGCACCTCAAAGTACAATACTCCGCTCAGCCAATAGGTGGCAGTTGCACAAAAATAGAATTTGAGCTAGATGTACTGTTTTAAACACGAGAAGAAACACACACATCTTACAGCAACAGCCCCAAGTCCCCTAATTCTCCCTAGCAACCAAATTTGATTGGCTGTTTAGCTGCAATCCATGATGCTTTTCCCAGCACCCCAAAAGTGAAACTGGAGGGTCTGATGGAGAAAATTTACTGTTTAGAGAAAGTTGGTGAAAATAATGTTTAAACAACCCAGACTGCATGTAGACACGCACAGCTGGGCAAATCTGACATATTTATAGTACATATTTGAATGTTTAAATTGTGGTGCAACTCATTCTCAAACCCAAAGTGGCTAAAACTGTCGAAGGGTAACCAAGCATTTGTTTGAGGTGCCACATGGCGCCAAAGTGTCACTTTCCAACACCCATGGTAAAACAGTGAATAAACGTATACAAACACATGTACACACACAGGTGCTCACATGATGCTCTCACAAGTATGGACTTGGGCATTTTCAGCACATTGCCTAAGGCTGTGGTTGGCACTATGAACTGTTACCGTGTTTCTCAACATTTTAACTTTTATATACCCTCATGTTGTTGGCGCAGTGATATTTTGGTCTTGTTTTATTTTTGTGTGTCTCCCTTTTTTTTCTATCTTTCTGCAGGTCTAGAAGCAGATTCTTGTACATGATTTTTGTGAACCCACCACCACTTCCTTCTCTCTCCCTTTTTCTTCTGTCTCTATGTCCATTGGGATTTAGGTCAGCCAAAAATATTTTGAATAAAGTTTTGATATCAGGCGTGGCATTATAGCAGAAGCTAACACTCCACCCATGAGAGTAAAACTTTAAGGCTTGTCTTCAGCATTCAGACATCAATTCTGATTGCTTCACAGCCAAACAGGACAAAGAAAAAAAATTGTGGGACTCCGCCACCGACCTCACCCCATCTGAAAGGGCTGAGTACCTGGCATCCACATCCCTAACATCCCTTTGCCAACAAATGATGTTGTCCAGATGAGTCGTGTAACAAGCTCCAACCCCTACCCTGGTTTATTAAAAATACTGTTAAGTGAATGATAAATGACCCGCACTTGTATAGTGCCTTTCAGAGTCAGGACTCCAAAGCACTTTACACTACAGTGTCTAATTCATCCATTCACACACACATTCACACAGTGATGGTGATGAGCTACAAGGTAGCCACAGCTGCCCTGGGACACACTGACAGAGGTGAGGCTGCTGAGCACAGGAACCACTGGTCCCTCTGACCACCACCAGCAGGCAAGTTGGGTAAAGAGTCTTGCCAAAGGACCCAACCGCAGAATTCACTGTCTGGAGCCGGGATCGAACCTGCAACCTTCTGAGTACTGGACAACCCGCTCAGTGGCAGATTTAGCAATTTGGGGGCCCAAGGCGAACACAAACATGGGGCCCCTTACACTACATTTTTGACAATTTTACCTTTAACTGGATTTGTGAAACTCTCCCCTCTTCTGACATGAGTTATCTTCTCTTTTTATTAGTCCTTTTTTTCTGTCTCTCTCTCCGTTTGAGTACTTTCAATATTTGCTCTGCTTTCCTCTTCCTGTCAGTGCTCCTGTGCTTTTGCCTTTTTTTCTTGTTTTCTATTTTCCATGTTGGTCTATGTTTTCCTCCCTTTAAACATTTTCTATAGTCTTTCCTTTCTGCTTCCTTTTGATGTTTAAATAGAAAAACGATGTCACTTTGTAGGTGAAGATAAAAGCTTTTTTGAAGCAAGCTGCTTCTTTCTCTTTTTGGAGCCACTAGGATAATTCCATTTCATGCTTAATATTTTGACTACTGCTTCATGTTTGTTACAAACGCTTCCACCTCTCTTCTTCTTTCTCTTTTTCTTATTTGTGGTCTTATGGCACTTGGCAAACAATGATTTGGGGCATTACCACCACCAACTGGATTGGGGTGGAATGACTACCAATCACTTCCTGTTTGTGCATCAGCGTCTTAAAGGAATAGTCCACTGTGGCATTAACAGAGGGGTGCCGGCGGTCAGGGCTAGGAGGCCCACCAACATAAGGGGGCCCCAGGCAGCCACCGCCCTGTGCCTAATGGTAAAACCGCCACTGAACCCGCTCAACCTGTTGATCTACTGCTGCTCCATGGCAATGAAAGCACCGCAGGGGAGCCCTCTCAAATGCCCTAACCGGATAACAGATGAAGCCCACTAAAACACGAGTGGAAAGCGAGGCCGCATCAAACATCAACAACATGGGAGTCGACCCTCAATCATTGAAGCCCAAATGCCTCGCAGCTGTCATCTTACCACTTTTCATGGCCCTCAGCAAGTCCTCCCCTGTAACATCCTTCGGGATATTACACATCACCCCCATAACTGCATCCTTGCTGTAGGCACATACACCTTGACCTCAACCCCCATAAACTGCCTAAGTTCAAGATCCTTGGACCATTGGGCTTCCAAACGGCACACCACCGACAATGTCCCTCCAGACAACACAGTAGCATCCACCACCTCACCAACCTTCTCCTTCAACTCCTGGGAAATCCCAATCAGGCTGGAGGCTACAAACTCACTCCCCGACACAGCTCGAAAACAAACAACCAGGTCCGCCGCGACAGCTACACCTGTCCTCCATTGCTTAGTCAAACAATTAAACCGCAGACCATCCGGCAACGAGTCGCTCCAAACTAAGCAATCCCTCTTAAATGCATCCCCTCCCTCAGCCGCTGGCGCAGCCGACTCAGTTCCCGTTACAACCTACGTCCCCATACACTCACCGAAATGAGGATGACACAGCCTTCATGTGCATTCAAGAGCCAGGTCATGTCATGTTGGGAATATGTTTTACCCAGGACATGAAAGAATCACAGACAGAAACGATGGTAAGTAAATAACAGATAACATTTATTAAGAACGATGTGTAACTGAAAACGCGGCTCCAAACGGGAACAGGAGGGACCGTGATCTAGAACGGGAAAGCAAACTGGTGTTAGAATCACGAAACCCTGGAACCAGAGAACCAGAGCTGAAATTGTTTGGAGAGCTATTCTTACTGGAGCTGATCGCTCTTGGTGAGGCAGGGCTGGGTCTTTGGGGCCAGGTGGGGACAGACAAGCAGCAGAGAATGAGGATCCAGGACGGGATGAGGAAACAGGTTGCGTGGCAGACAGTGAGACAGGATATGATGCAGGTCCAGAGGCTGGTGGTTAGGCAGGCTGGGAAGCGGACAGGACAACAGGCGGGCGGCGGAGAGTGAGGAGACCAGGGGGACGGTGAGCGACGTGGTGTTGGAACAACAACTCCAGACGGCGGTGGGTAATTCCTGAGAACAGACGAGCAGGAACCTTCAGGACTCGGTAGATCGGGGCTGACTGGAACGGGCAGACAAGATTAAAACTGAACATCAAACGAGACTGCGACTGGCTAGTGTTTATCCAAGATGTGAGTATCCACCGGCACTGGAGTTGTGTCACACCGCTCCTTAAGTACCCCTGGCCCTCTGATCAGGGAGATCAGGAACAGCTGGCTCTCCGACACGCCCACCTGTTAACACAGAACTGGGACAACTGCAGTGTATTAAGTGAAATGAATAGTGAGCAGGGCAGACCATGACAGATCAAGAACAGACACTTCGTTCTTACTAACGGTTCAGCCAGTAATCACCTAAATGCCACTAAGCACACTGGGAAACAGGAAGTAAACTCCTTACTCCATTACCAGCAATTGAAAGCTGTAATTTTGTTCTTCTCAATAAATGAATGTAAAAATCACAGCATTTTGTCATAATAAACTTTAAGGAAAGCGTCCTTTAAAAAAACAATGCAGGAGTGCTTTACAGTAGAATTAGATTGGCTATAGCAGCTTTAATGAGGGTCATGTGCAGGTCTGTCCACCTGATGCAAAGCCTTGTCTAAGCTTTATGACATCAAAAACAGTCAGAAGCAGGCTCATCCTTAGAAGGCTTGAAACAGCTTGTTAAGGCATGACATTACTAAAAACCAATTACTGACAGAAAATGTCTGGCTGCTTTTTATTCATGTTTAGAGTGTTTATGGAGGCCACACAGACCAACACAGTACAAAAGAAATGCAAAAAGTGTGTTCTGCATCAA